CTTGTGCACAGCCTGATTAAACAATAAGCAAAATGGAATACATTCCCTGTTCTACTTATTTATTTGTCTTATTCCACTGTTCTTTGTGCTTTGATATCCACTTCACAGGATGAACTCTCGTACTTCCATTGGTGTAATAGTAAATAGTCTCTTCCAGCACACGACTAGCTTCGGCAGAAGAAGAATAAAAAACAGCAAATGCAATATTATGATTCACCTCGCAAAAGAAAATAGCAAAGGAATTGGAGTGGGGTGGGCTGTGGTGTGGTGTGGTGTGGTTGGGGCTATGCGATGTGCAGCATCGTATCTTCTTAATGAGATCTCGCTTAATAATGTAGATATTTGTCTACCTTTGCAAAACACAACTCTCTTCCTATGAGAGATTAATAATCGGCATTAGACGAGCTCCGATTACGTGCTCCATGTGTAGCGCCTTCTTTTTTCTCATTGCGCCACACCACATAGGTGGCCTCTTAGTCATGCATCTAATGATAATCGCTGTTTTGATTGGAATATATATGCAATATGCTACGCCACATTGAGGCTGACAATTAAGCCTTTTCGTTAACACTGCTGTGTCGCCTCTTCCACTTTGGATGGAAGTTGCTTGTAGGACGCACTTAGGCTGCTACCTTTCAAGCTCTAATTATTAATTAAAATTTGGTTTGCTTTTAAGGGGGGGGGGGAACGCATTCTAACTCTGGAAAGGAGCCCAATGCTCGCAATGGATAAGAAGGAATCAACGCTTACTCTGTCCACAATCTCATTTGAAATGAGCCCTTTGTGGTAACTAAGAGCCTCTAGATTGCAATTTTAAACTTTGTAGTGTTCATTGGACACTAATACGTTCATTCAATATTGGATAACACTGTAGAACGGAGTCTAAAATCCCTCAAGAACAATAACTAACTCAACTGTTCTATTCATTACAAAGGGGGAGAACATTGAAGAAGTTAGGTGGGGGGTGAGGGGGGGGGGCGGTGAGACGACACGATGCCTACTTACTGAACTACGAGGCGGCGTCGATGCCGTCTTTCATTAAATAAAAAATTCTCCTTTTCCTTTGAGAGTAATAAACTTGCTAAGAGTGGATCTGATTACGCTTATAATCGACGTTCGCTTGCTTGCTTTTTTTCTCGGGCCACCAACATAGTTACCTCACAGTCACACTCTTTTGTCTACTTGAACCCTTCATAAGGTCATGATTGTCTATTGTTACCATTTTTTCCGATCACTAAATGAGTGACAATTAGCCCATCCTTTTTTTTATTTACTGTTCGAACATGTAATCGGTTTTGAACACAAACTAGAATCCAAAGGAAGAAGGGTTGCGAGTTGATTAAATAGAAGTCAGGATGTCGATAGCGTAACTTTTTTAGATTCTGGGACCTTTCAGCTAACCGTTCTCATTATTGTGTAGCATAATTCACTATGTAATGACTAAGCGCTCGGAATCTTGACTTCTTTCATTTCCCTGTAACTGCAATATTTAGAGCTTATTAGACAAGTAGAGTTAATTGGATAATTAATCCTACCCCCATGCCTTCATTTATACCCTAAAATCATAAGGTGGTAGGTAAGACTAGGGGAGTTCACTAAAGTTCAATCGAATGGGCATCTGAAAGTGAATATTTTGTCTCTAGTGTTAATCAAATACCATTATTGACGGTAGAAGTAGTCGAAAAATATTTTTTAAAATTCAAACTCATTGTCTTTGGAATGCCAAGTTCTACGGCTCATGAATTAGACGTTCTAAAAGAAGTGAATTTTCATCGACCTAAAGTGCATGCAATGGTTCGTTATTCATAGTTAATCAACCTTCATTTCTTGCTTCCAAACCCCAGTTGTACATGGTAAATTTTCATTCATCTATTTCTTGTTATATCAAATCAACTTGAAGTCTTTCGTTAACTCAAAACTGACCTTGCGCGAGTGATGGGTAACGAATTCTGCCGCCATGTTTTGTTATTGGGAATTCAATTTCATTCACTGCTTTTGCCTCTGCCTACTGCTTTTGTTTTGGCTTCACTCTCTTCCCCTCATTTCTCCCAGCTTTCTGCTTTCCATTTATAATACTCTCTCTCTCTTGTGTAGTCAGAAAGATGATAAAAATAAGTTGGAACCGCTGTGTCATTAATTCCGTCACTCTCAATAATTCCCATGCTTTGCATTGATCGTCTAAATCTTCTCGTTGTTGCTTTTCACAGCTTTCTTTACTCTCACGTTAACTGGCACCTTTTTACCACTACCTTTACTTCCTTTCCACTTTTGAGTATTTATTTATTTATATCAAATGAGAGGCGCTTTGAAAGTAATCGTTAGCCCTTTACCTGACTTTGGACTTCACAGTGAGGAGGAGGAACATCAAAATAATAGAAAATTGAGGGGTGGGGAACAGAAGAGTGATTCACAGATGTAAAATAGACAGAGAAATACAAAGGTGAAGAAAGGGTGAGATGAGTACTGTGGAAGTGGTTGAGTATGACATACAGTCGTGTCATGGTTGTTTGAAGTCAGAAGTCAACTGCCGTTGTATGGACTTTTTGCCGCAGGAGTATACGTTACCCAGAGTGCACCACGTGGAGGTAAGTCTATAGCACACCCCTACTTTTGAGTAAGCTGGAGTGATTTCCGCATCCGAATGCCACCACTATATACCCAATTGGCCACCGCTTCGCATAGTTACTTGAGAATGAGTGTTTTTTTATTATCATCTTTATTACCATGGTGTTTCCCGTTTCTCCTGTTTTTTACCCTCTTTTTATGCATTTCCGCTCTTGGAAGTGTGTTGAATGTGTCTAGTTTATGTGAACCATGCTTTGTAGAAGAATGAGTCCTTTCACTCAAATTGCCTATTTTGATGTCATTTAACGGTGCATATGTATTTTGAAGTTTCATGCTTATAAAAGCTACGTTACAATCCCCTTCTCTTTGTGCATCTGTGATGGTGGGAGTGGTGTATAGTGGCTGTAATTAATTATTTAGAGTAACGACAAGAATGAAAAGGCTTCCATTTCGTGCCTCCTAAATTTTATTTGAAAAAACGATACCACGAGGGGGTTAAATGTCTAGGTCACATCGGTAAAGATTAGATCCGATAAGAGAATTGCGCTGTTGCTTGGTTATGCGGAATAGAATTAGAAATCTGGAACAAGGTGTCCTATTAATACCATTTGGTTTTGTCATCCCTCGTTTTTTAATTGGTTTGTTTCTATCGTTGGTGGCATCAGCCCTTGTTTTTAGCGTTGGCGAATCAATAGTTACTTGGATTCGGAGGGCTAGAAGAAAATATTCATTTAAAAACTTGATTCATTAAAAGAAAGTGAGGTAGTATTGATCGGTTTGGCTTTTTCCCGGCTTTGGAATGTGTCCCTAACTTTCTAGGACATCTAGTTCAGAAAATATTGTCTCATGGGGGGGGGGGTAGTAATTGTTGAAAAGTCAGTTTCAGAAATGGCTTTAAATTGAGATTTTGCGTTCTCGTCCTCTTCTCCCTCCAATTTTTAATTTTCCTGCACGACATGTACTCAATTTTATGTCCTTTATAATCTCTTCCATCTCAGTTCTGTGCGTTGGGATGAGTGAGCCAGTTTTGTCTCACTGCTCTCTTCAGACTTGTTTTAGGATTAAGTGCATCTCCCAGTGTCGTATTGTTCATTTTCGTCTCTCTCTCTCCCCCCC